CCGTAACTGTTGCAAGTTTTTCCATGCGAGATGCCTCTGAGTTAAACCTAGTCAGGCCAAGTTATTAAACAAACCAGACTCTCTATGGTTCTGTGTGGAATGCACATCGATCCCACTGATAAAAAGCGGGCTCCTATTGTCTCAGAAGTATGACCAGCTACTAGCCAAGTTTGAGGAAATGGTGACCACCAAAATCACTACGTTTGTGGCAAACATAGCGAACTTTACAACCCAGTCCTCCCCCGTAAGTGCTGCTCCTATCCCACGTAGAACTGCTAGTAACTCCGTGAGCAACACGGCACCTAGAGTCCAGAACATCAACCGCTGTTCCAATACCACACGTGGCAGACATATGACTAATGCGGTTCCCAGTTCGATCAGAGTACCTACACGTAAGGCTCCTTCCAAACTCCCGACGAAGTGTGTAGCAAAAGAGCAAGCCGGTAATAGAGAAAGTTGGGTTACAGTTGCCTCAAAAAAGAGCCCTCTTTTAAAATAACATCTCCCCAACTGGCTCGGATACTGAGGAGCGTAGCGGAGCTTTCCTAGTGCAAGCCCCACCGGTTTCCTGTGGTACATCTCCGAGTACTTCAATCACTAACTGCGACATGACGAAAGGTGTAAAGAAACAACTACCTTACTGAGCGTTTTGTGCTCCAATATCCCAGAATCAAAGTCGACATCAATAAGAAGCAGGCAGTTAGATGACTTCAACCAATGTGACATCATTAGTAACTTAATCGGAGTTGTACTGAGACCTGTACACGTAGTGCGTACTACACGAAACCCCAACTCTAAGCATTACGGAGAGCCAAGACTTCTACGCGTTGTGCTGAACTACATCACTGAAGTGGAATCAGTACTACTGTCGACAGGTAGTCTCAGAAATGAACAATGCACTATCCGTATCTTTCCAGATATCCAATGGGGCGATCGTTATCGAGTTAACCGCACCTTAGAGGGCTACCGGAAGGAAACTTCAACCAAAACCATACTTCTTCACGGTGTTCCTGAAACTGAAACATGTGATGAGCATGAAATAACAATCTATGATAAAGAACAGTGGTTTTCTATTCGTGAAACACTCTGCTTGGATGATGTGTTAGCGAAATCCGTCTCACGACTGCGTACCTCATCGAATTGCAAAGGAAGTGGCCAGACAGTGTTGAAGATGGTCCTTCAGTCAAAACATATGGTAACACGGCTGCTAAAAAGCTAGTGCACGTTCCGTCGCAAGCTACCATCTGAGCTTCGGCTGAAGATAGTCAGCGATATGCCTCCTAGAGATGTTATGCCACTAAAGGAACCAAACGCGATGGGATCTATGAGAGAACATTGCACCAGTAGTGTGTCGAATGAGCCCATACAACCTGTAGAAGAGGATATTGACTAGACATCTTACACTGTACGTAGAAGTTAAGACATGCTACTAACTACACGGACGAGGAATAAGACGTTAAACCCTTCATTAAGTACACATTAAAAAACAATTAGTCGCCGGTCAATCACTGGTCGGCGAAACATCACGTATGAATTGCACAACCTCCGAAACATCGCTTAAATCTGAGAAACTTGCATGTATATACACTAACGCCCAAGGGCTCCTCAGTAAAATTACCGAACTTCGACTACGTCAGGTTGCGAATGCTTGGAACCTAATTTGTATTACTGAAACTTGGTTACTGAAGCTGTGGTTGAGATAGCCGGAATGTCACACATCCGGAACGACTGCCCCAGCAGAGCAGGTGGGGTCCTACTCTACTACCGCAGAGATCTTCAGTGTGCACTAGTTGAGGTTCTGGAAACACATGTTAACAACTCACTCTGGTGCCGTCTCCGACGAAGACGCAACGACGTATGTCTCGTAGCTGTCGTTTACCGCCCCCCAACGTCCAATCCGGAAATGGATTCCCACTTGATACCTCGCCTGAACAGAGTAACGCGCACTATGTACAGCCACATTCTCATCTCGGGGATTTCAATCTACACCCTCTGGAGGTATAGGCATCTCCCAGTCAACAGTTCAAAGCAGACGTGCGTGAACTTATCGTTAATATTCCCTTGTACAATGTCATTACGCCCACTAGATTCAGGACAGCAAACAAACCGTCCATACTGGACCTTGTGCTCACGAATGAAGAGCTCATGGTTGACAAGTTATTGACGGATAGTCCATTAGGTCTCAGTGATCATGTAGTAATAACGTTCAACTATGTGTGTTATGTAGAGTATCCAACTGAACACTCGGAACTAACTCATACAATCATACGCTACCACGTATTGAAAGAACTCGCCGACGCAGCTGCTTGGGAATTCTCAAACAACAGTCCCCTTGATAACGTTTGGACAGAGTGCGTTGATAGACTCAGCGACATCGTCAACAGAGCATCAAAGCATCAGAGACTTAATCCCTTCGTTCTGCAAAATTGCCTTCAATTCTAAGGAGCGATAAGAGGTGCAGGATGGCGTGCCTACAAGCTTAACCCCGACTCAGAGACTTGGGGCAATTTCCTGACCCATCGCAACCATTGCACTGTACTTGTCCGTGAGGACAAAGTAACTTATCAACAGTGCCTAGCCAAAAAATTCATGGCAAACAACAAACTGCTATACAGGCATGTCAATAATCTTCGTAGTGAAGCATGGAATCCCTACTTTTCACGATGGGCGGTAGAATACAAAGCACTGAAGAAGCAGCTAATGCCCTGCGGCTACATTATGCCCCAATCTTCAAACTCGCAGCCTCTACCTGTCCCATAATGTCAAGCACATTGCCGACTCCACTGTTTACACATGTAATTTTCAACTTATCATTTGTGCTAAGGAACTTACTCTCACTGCGCGATCATAGTTCTCCGGGAGCAGACAACATCCACCCGAAGGCACTGAAGGCTGTGGCCAACAAGCCAGCTGAACCCCTGTCACATTTTTTCCAAAGGTGCTTCGATGAACAACAACTCCACACTATGTGGATGGGTGGCATTTTCACCCCAAATTTTAAAGGCGGTAGCCTTTCAGAGCCTGCAAGCTATCGCCCAGTGACTCTCCTCCCTGTGCTCGCGAAGGTGATGGAACCGATCGACGCTGAGGTTTTAATGGACTACCTGGAAAAATGCAACATCTTGGCACCGGAGTATCATGGCTTCCGTTAACACCTGTCATGCACCACCAACCTACTGATTGCACGAGCTAGTTGGATGGAAGTGGCTGGTGACGGGGTCGGAGTTGACGTCACCTATCTGGACTTCTCCAAAGCTTTCGACCGCCTGGATCACCGCATCATACTTCAACGGCAAGAGAGCTACGGAATCGGAGATCATGTACTTGTTGGAGTAACAACTTACTTCACTAACGGAAGCTTCAAGTACGCGTTAGGAGATCACTCTCTAACCCGATTGAGGTGGAATGTGGTGTCCCACGAGGCTCAGTGCTTGGACCGCGCTTATTCCTTGTGTTCATTAACGACCTGGCAAGAGTTATCTCCTCAAACTTCCTGCTTTTCGCCGATGAAATCAAGAAATGGCGGGCGATCAGTAACAATGAAGATCACGATCTACTCCAACATGACGTAGATTGCATTTATGAATGGTCACAGAGGAACCCACTTCAATTGAACATGGCTAAGTGCAAGATGATCCATCTGCATCACCAGCCGGTGAGTGCTCACAAACTTGGAGACCATACGATGCACAAGGCTTCTCAGGAGCATGACCTGGGTGTACTGGTACATGAAGATCTCGGGTGTTCAAAACAAGCATAGAAGGCGACGAAAACCGGCAATCAACACTTCGGCCTTCTTCGCAGAGCCTTCGGTCGGTTTGAACCCTCAATCTTTCCCCAAATGCTTGACGCCTATGTGCGATCGCTCGTGGAATATTCTATTCAGGCGTGGCAGCCGTGAGAGAAACAATATCTTTTTGCTCTCGAGACTCCTCAACGAAGGGCAACCAAGAACGTCAGGGACCTCTTTCGTCTGCTTGATCAGCTTAGACTGAAATCTCTAAGAATCTGCAGCAGTCGATATCGGCTTTTGCGGAGGGATCTCATAATGGTTTACCAAATTCTGAAGAACCAAAACCATATCTACCGTCTGCTGCTGGAATTGAACCACAATTCTAACCTAAGCGGTCACCCTCTGAAACTGACAATTGAGTATAGCAGACTTGAATGCCGTAAAATTTGCTTTTCCCTCCGCGTGTGCCAGATTTGGAAAGTCCTCCCTAATTATGTCGTCTCCGCTCTCAATCTGGCGATATCTAAAAAAGAAGTTGACGATTGGTTGTCTCATTTACACTTTATTTTATGAATGGTTAGCCAGGGGCTACAAAACTCAATCAAACGGTGTCTTGCCAAGCTCATATACGTTTAATACGTGATCATCTCCGCTATTCTACATAAGTCTATGGTGAGTCCACCACAACACTTTTCACTTTATCATGCAATTGACTTTTCGCAACAATTTCCACCCGATGTGACTTGTTAAGCAATGCTTTTTCACCCGTAATAAACCATTGTTCCATCATAAACTAGTTATCATGGATGATCTTGACGGTACCTTGGGGCAGTTTGTTTGAAAAATCATATATCGGTTGTCCTTATTAGTTTGATATGTCAAAGCAATGTTCCCGTAGAAGTCAGATGTGACCACAGGAATATGGGACGTAGCTGAGCGGCAGTCTGAAACCGCCAGTTAGTCATTCGGGTGTGAATGTAGTCTCGCTGCCAACAAACGCTCCGCGCGTGAAGTGAGCTCAACTTGAGCGGGTGGTGTGATAGGTGGGGTGCATCCTACTGAATGCCTGGGTGTTGAAAGTGTCTTTCAAGTACGATGGGCAAACAGGGAGATAGTGAGCACCTGCATAACTGTCGTCTTGGCAGAGTGGAAGTGTAAAAACGGCATTTTGACTTTGACTTTGACCAAACCTTTCATCTGCATATCCGAGCGAAAATATGCCATATTCGTGAGATTAATAGATGCAAACTGTTGGTTTTCAACTCACGGTGGCGCGCCTCAGAAACGGATTTTCTGGTTCATATACGTGGGCCGCGCTTAGCAAACCTGTACGATGCGAAACATTGAAATGCATTGTGGGATTGTAGGGATGGAACACAGATTGTCCTGTTTCACCGAATGCATCCAGTAGCTTCACTCCAACTAGTTTGGCACAGTAACCTATGAAAGAAAACAAGCATGAGAGAGAACAAGCAGTCAGCTGTTTCGAATGGTAATAATGTAGACGGCATCCATTAAACAATAGCCTGGATATGAATAGCATTCGCGAAAATTTCTTTCGCTCACGCTGTACATGTGGGTGAATATCAAACAAAAGGGGGTGCTGAGTGAAGCCTTTGCGCGTTTTAACTAAAGCCATCACTTCATCGCTCTAGAGAACATCGAGTTACTCCTGCGCATCGACTGCAATGTTAAAAAGTCCAGTTCAGGCTTGTATTGCGGTGGCTTGGCCGCTTGGTCTAGTGACCAAGGAGCCAGTGATCAACTATTGTATTGGGTTCTACTCTCAGCTAAGACTATCTCTACCTAAAGATTCTAAATCAAGAGGAAACAGGCCGAGAAGTCCAGTTCCATTTGTACCGTAGCCGTTTGGCACCACCAGTTGACGGATTAGCAAGATGACGTTCTGCTAAGCTGGTAATGGATTTGAATAGGGCTTAATGAAGCGCTCCAAATGCCTTGTCCCACCACCCGACTTGTACATGAAATACCGTCTGGTAAGGCATTGAGGGTTACTTCACTGATACCAAAACGGTTCATGATATTCACATACACCCGGCTTCGCTTGAATCATTCAGACTCCAATCATTTCGATACGAACAGCAGCGACGAGGATCGCCCGACATTAACCGACGGTTTTTGAGAATCTAGTTTGTGGTAACGCCTCAAAACGGAAGTCGAACGACACCAATACATCTACAGACGTTTTCGCGCTCATTCACTCATCGACAGCTGCTAAAAACTATGTTTATTATTCTAGTGTTAGTTGAAGAGCTGAGTTAGTGAGCACCAAACCGTATACTACTCGGAGCACTGGCAAGTGTACTCTAACGATGAAGGCTAAACACCACAAGCAGTCGTGCCATATAAACACCTCAACCAACTTGGCCACTTACATCTCTCGTTAGGATAGTGTTTCAAAATAAGTTAATCTGGTGTGCATGTATTTCCCCCAAAAACCTTCAAATTCCCGCGACCATGGTTAATCGAATGTTGCGCGACACTTCGTTTTTATGCACGTGAATCAACAGTATTAGTTGATGTTGGAGCCTCTGTACGAAAACCTAGTGCAACAACAGGTGCACAGCGTGAAATAGTAACACCACAGGGTATTCAACTCGACAGCGTCTAAGCGTTGATACGATTAGCATGTGTTAAGTAGTGACCGTCAATGCGACGGGAATTGCCTTGAAATAAAGGAGGAATAAGTGGCGAGCAAAAGAGGAAGAAAAATGAGGTGCCATTCAAAATGTCGATAGAGGAGCTAACAGTCCTAATCGGGAGACTATACACGAAAGCGCCAGTTGACTTGGTGCCTGTGTTGTGTCGGACAGCGTTTACCATCATTGACATGGCTGGTCCCTGAAGCTGATCACAGGCTTTTGATATGCATCAATCCTACTCACTTCCCACAGTTTGCTTAGCATTGAAAAGATCCTACTGTTTTTTACGCAAAAAGAAGCCAGACTGGTAAATCATACGCACCACGTCAGACTGTTAAGGATCATACGAAAGACTGGAAATCACGATCTGGAAGAGTGACCGTTCATTTGTGAAACAATTCCCTTGGATAACGTGGTAGCGCCATCGCTATGGAGGCAACCTCACCCACCAAATTGTAGAGGGTGTAACCCAAGAATCCCAAAACTAGGCATTCAATCAGATTTAACAGCAACAGACTTTAAGAATGTTCACGAAAAAACCTAAAAATCTTCCATCAAAACTTCAGTTAAAGGCTGCAGAAGCTTAGAATAGACCAGAAATTAAGTCACCTGAAAACGCAAACCTACCAGCAAGGACACAAAAGCATCACTCGACCACCCATTCATCCAATTCTGATGTAGGCATAGAGAGCGAATGGGACGTAACTTGGACAAATCAAGCTGCGGAGGAGGTGACAATATTCTATCAAAAATCCAGCAACGGCCAACCTCCCATCGGTCGGAATTCTCCTACACATGGACGCTTTGGACACCTGTGGACTCCTAGATTGAGAAACTAGCCTGCATGTATACCACTGATCAAGACTTTTTTTAATAAGCTGACTGAATTGAAAGACCACTGATTTTCTAAGTCATATGATCTCATCGGCATCACAGAACGTGATTAAACACTGGAATGACTCACGCAGAGGTCTCACTGTCGGGCGTGTCTCTCATCCGAAAAGACGGAATCACAGAAGGTGGATAGGCAATTCTGTACTACCGAAGCGACTTAAATGTGAGGCCATGATGAATTCAGAGTCGTAGTTTCCCGCTACTCTTTAGTGTGCCTGCAGTTAAAAGGCAGAGACACGTGCTTTACAGCCTTAGTGTACCGCCCCCAAAGTTCCCACCTGAAATGGCCTGCCACCTAGCGATGACTTTAAGATGACATCTAAACGGAAAACATTCATATCTTGATCATGGATGATTTCACCATACATTGTTTAGGGACCCCTGCCACGATCGGAAAATAATTCAAAGCCGAACTGCAGGAGCTCGTAACCGCTGTTCCGCTTTACAACCACCTACTTTTACCCACTCGTTCCCGAACAGGTAACAGGTCATCTGTGCTGGATCTTGTATTCACCGACGAAGAGCATATCATTGATGTATTGGTTGTAGACTGTCCATTGGGTCGCAGTGCTCATGCAGCCATTAGTTACAAATTTATCTGCTGTGTGAAATCTCGGAATGAGAACCTTGAGACTGTGCGAACGATCACATGCTTCGATCAATTAGCCCAGCTCGTCAATGCTACAACCGGGCAGTTCATTGCGGAAAAACCCGCGGAACTCACCTGACTCGAGTACGTTAACAAATTCAGTCGGCTGATCGCAGCTGCTTCAGAGACAAGCATTTGTAACTTCTTTAAATCAGTTTCTTTCTTTAGTATCAGAACTCGAAAAAGATGTTAGTACGCAACAAAGTACGACGAGCAGATAAATTGGCTCCAACGCCGGCAAATTGGGACAACTGATAGTCCAACCTAATCACTGCACTCAACTGCTAGGAGCGAACAAAACTGCATATCGGGTGAACATGGCGAAAACCTTCAGCGGTAACCACAAACTGCTGTACAAGTACGTCAATGGCTTACGAATGGTGAGGCAAGGAGTTCCTTCATTCACGATGGTTGACATTCCAACAAGAACGGCTACAGAAGCAGCAAACGCTTTTCGGATACGAATGCTCCCACATTTCCGACGGTCTTATCATCAAGCAATGTTCCAGCTCTTGTCGCCCAGCCGCCGGGACTCAGTTACATCTCTTTCACCGTGGAAGCTGTCTTGAAAAACTGACGTATCTGCGCAACCACAACACCTCGGATGTCGATACCATACGCACAGAAGCATTTAGAGCATCAGCATGACAAATAGAAGCAAGTTTGGCTGTTCTTTCAGCGCTGCTCAGCCCAGAACCAAGTTTCTTTCATGTGGAAGCTTGAAATAATAACTCATGTTAATATGGGCAGTAGCTGGGCCGGGCCTTCAAAGTAAGGCCCAGATGCTCCTTCTTCCTGCATTTTTCAAGGTCGTGGAATCAAGCGCTGCCGATCGGTTAGTGTGCTATCAGGAAACTTGTAACATTACTGTTCCTGTGAAACACGGTTTCCGTAGATATCAATTGTGTACAACGAATTTCCTAATCGCACGGAGTAATTTGACGGAGTCAGCAGTGATTAGAGCGGGCGTCGACGTAATCTACCTGGATTTTTCGAAGTCTTAATCGTCTAGATCATCGGATGCTCCATCCCAAACTCCAGTATTACGGCAACGTTGACCCACTCTTAAGCTGTATTGCTAACTTTTGCCTTTAACGAAAACTAGTGGGCAGAGTCCGGAGATCCTTATCTGCCCCCCCCCTAAAAGTTGTGTGTGGTGTGCTTCACAGCTCAGTCCTAAGGCTATGCTAATTTTTGGTATTTCTTAATGACTTCACACAGGCAATCGTTTCAAAGTTCCCACTGTTTGCCGATGACAACAAGATTTTGCGCAGGATTCAGGTGAATGCCGACTAGTATATGCTTCAGTGAACTAAACACAGTACATCGGTGGTCAGTCCGAAAATTTCAACGTAGTTAACCGCAAGATACTTTCTATCCGAAACCGTATCAACTATTCATACAGGGTCCGAACGCGGGTACTGCAGCAATGGTCCGTCAAAGATGATCTAGGTGTGCTGCTACAGGATAATTTGGGTTGCTCCATGTAATCCGAGAACGCCTTGAAATCTGGTAACCAACACGACGGGCTGCTGAGACGGGTGCACCAACAACTGGACATCTCCTTTTTCATCAGATGCTCAGTGCAGATGTTCGTCCGCGTATGGAGTACGTCATTCAAACCAGGTATTCTTGGATGAACCACGACCTTAATACACTGGAGCAGCCTCAACGTGGGGCATCTAAATACGTCACTTGAATGCGAAATCTCCCATACGAGCAGAGAGTTGAACGATTGGGTTATTCAGCGGACGGTATTGTCGATTACAAGGTGACCTGATAATAGCCTACTTGATTCTGCACGACCCACATCTTTTGTACCGCTCCTAACTGCAACTCATCAGTAATACAAACCTGAGAGGTCACTCTTGAAACTCGCGGAACAGTATAGCCGTCTAGAGTGCCGCAAGGATTTTTTTTGCCATTCGTGTGCAATGCTCTCCTGGCATCGGTCGTCTCTGTATTGACAGTAGCAATAGTTAAAAGATGCTTTGATGACGAACTCAGCCACTTACCTTTTGTTACTTGGCACTGTCTCCATCTTACGCCTAGAATGTCCCACGGATTTATTCGCTGTCACATGTTTGTGTTGTGGGACTATGTGGAGTGTAGGACCACTGTATTACAGACGATCAACACTTTTTGATAATTAATGTACTAACGGGTCATTAATCACTGACCTGTGATACCTACTCACGGTCAACCGCGTGAGCTTGGAGCCATATTGTTAAGCG